GCCTTACACCGTATGCAAAATTAACTAAAAATGGATTGGAGACCTACACTCTTAAGATAACACTCTTGGAAGGAAACAGGGAAAATCATTATGATTTAATGTCACTGAACTAGACACTAAAAAGTGGTTGAAATAGCAAATTTTATATATATATACACATATATATGTGTATATGTATATATATAATAGATATAGATATCTATAATATATATAGATATATATCTATAATATATATAGATCTCTCTCTATATATATAACCAAGATTTTAAAAAATAAATTTTAAAAAGTATAGCTGAGCTAGAGGAAGTGGATCTTTTCCTCTCTCTGAGCATATTCTCCTAAAGCATTGCCTCATCAGCATTTCATAAAAGGTAATGTTGATATAACAATTACTAGGCCAGAAGGAAAACCCAATAGAGGAAACAAAACAAGTCCACTTGCTTACCCACCATCCAATAGGACAGGTCTCGCCCCCTCAGGAGACCCAACCCTTACATGGCCTAGCCCCCAAGGCCATGGCTCAGGTGACACTCTGAGGTCCTCAGATTTTTCCCTAAATAGATCTGACATCTCTAGAAAAAATGTCTCAGGTGTGCCTAGGTCATCCCCTCAGGAACCAATGGCTGCTGTTTTCCTCTTCTTGTCTCCCTACAGTCAAGTTGGCCTTGCAGGCTACTGCACCAAGACGTTGGCTCAGTTCCTAGTGCCCAGTTCTGCACTCCAGCAGACACCCAGGGGTGGGCGGGGGCTGGGGGGAGAAGTGTCCTTTGTTCCCCTGTGCGTGGTAGGTTAAAAGGTGACAAATCTGACTGCCTGATATGCTCTCAAAGACTAGCAGAGATTTTAGGAAGTTTTTTTTAGTTTAGTCACTCCCTCCCCTGGAGCTCAGGCAGGAGGCCATGGGGACTAGGGTAGAGGGCCCTGGTGCAAGGAAGGGAGTCAGGCTATGTGACAGACCCAGGGCTGTGCTTGAAAATACCTGTCTCCTCCAGCTTTGACCTACTGCCCTTTATCTAACTTGGGAACTTCAATTCCCTAACTTTTGCACAAATTCTCTCCCAGGAGTAGCCTCAGATGCTTGCGCATACGTAGCCATAGTGGACTGCCCTGCCAGTCTCCCAGACTTGCTTGGACAGGCCTACATCCTGGGGAGCACCTTGTGTATAATCAATTGTTAAGGTTCATGTTGGCTTCCTGTGTGCCAGGCATAGGAGTAAAAGTTGTAGACGTGCTAGTCTCCTTACTTTTTTTTTTTTTTTAAGATTTTATTTATTTATTTGAGAGAGTGAAAGAGGGAGAGAAAGCACAAGCTGGGGGAGAGGGAGAAGCAGAGCATGGAGCTGAGCATGGAGCCCGATGCGGGGCTCAATCCCAGGACGCTGAGATCATGACCTGACCTGAAGCAGGCACTTAATGGACTGAGCCACCCAGGTGCCCCTCCTTACTTTTTCTTTAATTAAAAAAAAAAAAAATCTGATGATGTTTATGATATCTGCATGTTTTGGAAAATGTGCAATGTACATTTAATGTACATACGTACAAAAATTATGTGTAAGATAATTAAAACTTTACCTCTGTCTTACTGCTTTTTATTTCATTTAATCCTCACAACAGTGCAGGGGGGAAGATCTCATTATTTCTGTTGTCAAGGCAAGGAAACCGAGGCTCAAAGAGAGGTTATGGAGCCTGCCCAAGGTCACGTCTAGGAAATGGATTTGCACTAGGAGAGCCAGAGCTCCTTCTCAGAAACCACGCTGCCTCCTGAAGCTGAGATTCCAGCTGCGTGAGTTACTGCAGAGCTTCTGGGAAGCTCAGAGGTTTCTTTTATAATATTCTATACTCAGATCTTGTGGAATTGATGATCCCGAAAAGAAGGAAGGAACCCCAACTGTTACTAGCCACAGAAACGGCTGCTAACAACTGTGGACCTTGGGCAAGATGACTTCCTTTTTTTTTTTTTATATTGCAAAATGATTACCGCCATAGTGTTAGCTGACACTCCGTAATTTCATGTAACTACCATTTCTTTTTTTGTGGTAAGAACATTTAAGATCTACTCTCTTAGCAACTTTCAAGTATATAATACAGTGTTATTAATGAGGACTTCCTAATCTTAACTATAAGGACTGGACTAGTCTAAGGACCATTAGAGATAACATGTAATATGCTTAAAGAAATGCTGGGTACTAATACGTTCTTGGAAATATCGGTTGCAGAACTAAATGGATGCCCCTCACAGGTCAAACATTCCCGGATTGCTACCTTTTGGTGTCTGAAGAGTGATGATAGCTGGATCACTAATATGAGGGTCGAAGTGGGAAGCATCCCATCCACATAGTCCGGCACCTGAAAATTAGAGGGGAACACAGCACCAGGGCCATAATTAGGGTAGGAGTGTTAGCCCCAACAGGAGGAGTCATTTTGCTTCTCCTAAATTCTGCAATGGTTCTTGGTTTTGCCATTTTGATGCCTATCGCTCCAAAGCCACTTTTAAGTTTTTTCCAACTCTCCTGCACTCAAGGGGCTTGGGAGTTCTCTCTGAATCACAGGCATAAAGACCTACCAGGAAGTCCCTGAGTTGTCTTTGTGATCAATTCCTTTCCCAACTGATTTTAAATCTTCCCAGGTGCCGCTTAGCGATTGCATGAGCAGCCTGCAGAACGGGGTGCCTGGCTTTGGCCATACCTGGGGCTTCACTGGGTGGGGTCTGGAGGTGCATCTTATGTCTTTAGGGCATAGGAATTTAGCTGAGGTCCAGGCAGCCTTCATGGGGAGGTGGCTAATCAGGGGATGTGGCACCATGGTGAGGACCCAGGTGGAAGGGAATATGCAAAGGCAGGCAGGTGGCTTGGATATGTTTCAAGGAGTTTAGCTTATTTGGGTGTATCTGTTCAAGGATGCCATAAACTCTCTACAGCATACCTTTCCTCCAACAATCCTCAAAGTTCACCAGCAAGCATTAGAACACATGCCTTCCACTTAAAAGTCACCCCCCAAAGTTGACTCGCCTTCCCAGGTTCACAATGTCGCCGTGAGAACAACTCCAGCCCTCACAGCCCCGTGTTGAGTAGACACCCTGCCCACCACTTCCGCAACAACGTGGCCAGTATCTGACTAATCCCCACCTTACGAATGATTCATAGATCAGAACAAGCTCATTTCGTCCCACCACCTCCGCCACTGGAGTCCTCCCCAACATTTCTCTGCCGCAGCCAGGGCCACCAGCAGCACCCTGTTCCCTTCTCGGGGCTCAGGGCCTGCAGCACCCATGCCTCCCTGGCCCCCCTTGGCAAGCGTTGCTGATGCCAGAAGGCGGTTGGGGCAAGTTTTCAGAGCAAGGCTTTGGGAATCAGGCAGGCCGCTGACCAAGTTTGAGTTCCTTCACTTGTTGGCTGCCTGGCCTTAGGTACCTTTATTTATTTCTCTAAATAATTGTTTTCCTTGTTTTCCTCATCTCTAGAACGGAAAGATAACTGCACAAATCCCTTAGGGAGATTGTGAGTGTCGAATAACATGAGGCATAGAAAGCAGGTAGCACATAGAAAGAGTTTTCTAAGAGCTAGCTATTAGTATTATTAGCACCATTAAAAATGCTCGAAGACAGCTCCACTCAGAGGCCTTAGTACCCCAGCTCCCTGTGAACGCCCCGGACTTGTGCCCAATGATCTGCTCCCGCTGTCTCACATCCCACCCCACTTGCTCACTCTCTCCTGCGAGGTCCCAGAACATTCCATCCTTCTTCCCGACATGGCACTGGTGCGTCTGTCTGTCTAGAATACTCTTCCTATTCTTATTCTTGTCTTCTCTCTTGCCTGGCTGACTTCTCATCTGTTAGGTCTCAGCTTAGATGCCACTTCCCAGGGAAGCCTTGCTAAGCACTCCCAGTCTCCCCCACCAGACCTGGTTAGGTTCCCCCTTAATGCTGTTAAATGCTGTATCTCTTTGGAACACTATCCATAATTATAATCATGTCATTATGAATTTAGCCATTATTATGTGCCTATCCCCCCTCCACCATAAACTATAATTTCCATAGGGTAGGAATTGTGTCCATCATGGCGTCCTATCACCTAGGAAATGGCTTGGCAGGTAGTGTGAATGAATGAGAGTAAGAAAAAAAGCAAGGTGGGGGACGTGGGGGAGGGATTGGGGAAGAAAGGAAGATTCTTGGCTACAATATGAACCATTCAAATTATACCATTCTAGATCCTGGCCACACTGACTCAGCTCACAAAACTAGGCTTCTTCTGGATCTCAGCCATCCTTGTGGAGCCTAACACCAAACCAAATTTTTCTAGACCTTTCCTTGGAGGATTAGATGCTGCTTCTAAACTCAGCAGGCAGTGCCTGAGGTCCTGCAGGGAATAAGCTAAACTCCTTGAAACATATCCAAGCCACCTGCCTGCCTTTGCATATTCCCTTCCACCTGGGTCCTCACCATGGTGCCACATCCCCTGATTCGCCACCTCCCCATGAAGGCTGCCTGGACCTCAGCTAAATTCCTATGCCCTAAAGACATAAGATGCACCTCCAGACCCCACCCAGTGAAGCCCCAGGTATGGCTGAATCCCCAGCAGGCCTCATGCTTCTGGTTCTAGACTCTGGGGGAGACAGTGCTCAGGGTCAACATTAGAACTTCTGGGGGAGTCGAGCAGCCGAATGAACTCTCAGTGTGACATCCTGGGGTCATTTCTCACCAACTTTCCATGGAATATCACAGAAATGTGACATTTCTATAAATTAAAAAAAAAAAATCATTTGGGGCGCCTGGGTGGCTCAGTTGGTTAAGCGACTGCCTTCGGCTCAGGTCATGATCCTGGAGTCCCGGGATCGAGTCCCGCATCGGGCTCCCTGCTCGGCAGGGAGTCTGCTTCTCCCTCTGACCCTCCTCTTTCTCATGCTCTCTGTCTCTCATTCTCTCTGTCTCAAATAAATAAATAAAATCTTTAAAAAAAAATCATTTGAAAAATACTAATTTTTCATAAAATGTCTTACTTGCTTAGGGGTTATCTATCATAATGACGTTAAAGTAATCCATGTGCCAGCCCTACCCCTGCTCAACACACACATATTTTAGTCTTACTACACCTATGCTAATTCCCAGGTATACCTTGGTTTCTGTGGAAAAATGCATGCCCAGATTCAATCAACCAACCTAAATAACAATCCTTGCAAACTCAGTCCTTGGTGAGTAGAGGATTCCCTGCCTGTGCACCAGACTGGAGGCCTCCTTAAAATTAAGAATGGGAGAAATTCCAGGAAGGATAGAGTTCGGGTTCAATTTTAAAGTAATAAGACCAGTTTAGGGATGTGCTTGGGGAAATGGATCACTCGCCAGATGGAGCTCCTTTTGTCTTCCACAATACTGCACATCCACTCCCAAGTTTTTGTTCACGCTAATTCTCCTGAATGGGTTACCCGCTCCCTTCCCCTCCCCCTGGTTAGACTCAGCCCATCTTCTAGGTCCGTTCTTGAAGTTGCCTGAAAACTTCTCCAGGATGTACCCACCTGCCCTTCTGAACTCTTGGGGGCACTTAGCCCATGTTGCTATCTCCACATGCTCTACAATAGTCTCATATATGTTTCTCCAAATCACATTATAAACTCCTCAAGGGCAGTGGCCATGCCTGGTGCCTCCCTAGGGGCGGGGGGGAGTTCATATTGATACTCACAAATCCTTGATCCTTTTATGGAATTGACACTGAAATCCTGGCCATCTCCTACCCCTCTCTATCATATATGCTCTAGCCCTCTACCTCACAGAAAATGGGGAGAATGTAATGGGACTAGCCCAGAACAGCCTGGGATTATAGATGTCAACAGAAGGTATGGTTGTTTATATCCACCAAGGTTTCTGCTTGTGTGGGGAAACCCCATGCTTTTTAGGAAGGAGGACATCCTATTAGAGCAGCAAGCTCAGCCAGGGGTTGTGTGGGGTGACAGGTTGAGAGGACAATCAGAGAGGCTAAGAGAAGGCCAAGGTACTCTGCATAAGAGAAGCTGAGGGAGATACCCAGCTGAAGGACTGATATATCAGAAGAGGCTGGAAAGAGGAGGTTGTTGGAAGGACAACCTGTGTGGCTACAAGGACAAAAACAGGGAGAGGACCAGGAAGAAGAAGACAAAGAAGGAGACATAGAACAGCCATCATGAGGAGTGAAACTTTGGGGTAAAGAAGGACATGTTAAAGACAATTTTGAAGAGTTGTGCCATGTGACATATAGCCTCCTCCTTCCCTCCCTCAGAAACCTGCAGTAATATCAACACTGCTCCCTGATGTTTTCAGAATCAGGTGTGTGGAGTGTTCAGTTCATTTTTTCAGTAAGGCAACGGGTACAGCAGTTCTCACAGTGGATGAGGGTTGAATGAACAGAAGTCCAAGGAAACCCAGCCTGGGGACAAATGGGTAATGTTCTCTTCCTTCCTTCCTTCCTTCCTTCCTTCCTTCCTTCCTCCCTCCCTCTTTCTTTCTTTCTTTCTTTTTTTCTTTCTTTCTTTCCCTCTTCTTTCCTTCTTTCTTCCTTCTTTTTTTTTTGAGGGTGTCAGAGTCATTCTTTATTGGTACAAAGACTAAATAAGAAAAATACAATTTGAGAAAATGAAAAACAAAATAGGCATCCTGAGTCTCACTAGATTAATACTGTTTTTCCTTATTTTTTTTCAAACCCTGGTTGAACTTTTGAGAAATGTGTTCTTAACCTAAACCCCAAATAGACCTCTGAGACAAAGGAAAATCCCCATCTTTGGCAACTTATGTTGTACCCATGGGCAGCTGATTGCTGCTTACTTGTGGCTCAATTAACAGAAGAAAAAAAAATCCAGCAGTTCTGAAGTGTTTTCCTGCCTCTTCTCGGGAAGACCAGAGGTTGAGAAGGAGCTTCCCACCTCTGCGGGACAGCATTTGGCCCCAGCAGCCGCACCCCATGGGCTACATAGCATGCTCACACTCACCATCTAATTTGAGAAACTAGAGCAAGCCAAGAGCAACAGATTGTGATTTGTGGGTGTCCAACACGCCAGAAAGCGGTCAGCGTGTAGGCGACAGATGGGAGAGGGTGGTATTCCTTCGCCGGTGGCGGGGAAGGCTGAGGGCCACCTCCATTTTGAAACCTGTGGCTTTTCCCTGTGCAGGAGACCTGGCCACGCTGGGTGGCCCTCAGGAAAGTCTGAGTGTACAGGCCTTGGAGCCAGAAGGTCAGGCGTGGTTACAACAAAAATAAACTGTGGTGATGAGAACCCTGGCTCAGTGCACACATTTGTGGCCTTGGACTGAAGACACCGGCCACAGTATGATTTGCATTCACCAAAAATAGTCATTTCAGCATCTGAGAGTGAGATTGGGAAGGAAGAGCCAAGCTCAATTTCTCACTCTCTAGCTGCTATTTTTCTCCAGGGGACCAAACACATCACCACAGTCCTTGTTCTTCCTTCTTGCTTCAATCACACCTGCTCAGGCTTGGGTACCCTCACTCAACAAAAGTTTATTTAGGACCATTTATGCACCAGACATTGTGCTAGACACTGGGGATTCCACAGTGAACAAATTACATGTGGCCCCTGCCCTCAAGGGCCTGAGAGTCTTGTTGGGCATGTATGAGTTTCCTGGGGCTGTCCTAACAAAGCACCACAAATGAGGGGGCTTAAAACAACAGAACTTTATTGTCTCACAGTTCGGGAGGCCAGAAGTCCAAAATCAAGGCTTTGACAGGGCTGTGCTCCTTCCAAAGGTTCTAGTGAAGAATCCTTCCTTGTCTCTTTCAGCTTCTGGTGGCTGTGGGCAATCCCTGGCAATCACCAGTGTTCCTTGGTGTGTAGATGCTTCACTTCAGTCTCTGCCTCTGTCTTCATGAGGCTTTCTCCCCTGTGTGTCTGTGTGTCTGTGTCCAAACTTCCTTCTTCCATTAAAGACAACAGTCATATTGGATTTAGAGCCCACCCTAAACCAGCATGATTTCATCTTAACTAATTTCTTCTTTAAAGACACTATTTCCCAAAAAAGGTTACATTCTGAGGTTCCAGGTGGACGTGAATTTGTGGGGGGAGGGCACCTGGTGAACTGGGTGTCAAATGACAAACCAGTAAACACAAATAAAAAGATATGGGGCAGGATTATACGGCAGGTGCTAACCTGGTTGTTTTCTGTATGTTTCCATTCCACCTCCTTCTCCCAGGCACACCTAGTCAGCCTACACCAAAGCAGAAACAAGAGCAAAAGGAAAAAGCACATGGGGTGCCCCAGGAAGATTCTTGGATGCATGCAACTTACAGAGTCTGCTTTTCCTCTCCCAGTGAAGAGCCCAGATATGGCAGGGCCTGGAGAAAGGAGAATAAGAAGACAGCATGGTAACAAGAACAAGAAGGGGGGTGGGCAGGAGATTGAGGGCTGGAGGGTCTTCAGACTGGGAGAGGAAGGGGCACCTTCTGTGGGGAGGACCAGGGAAGGGAGAGGCTGAGCCGTTCTTGAGTGTGACCCCCCCCCCACGTGCACACATGCACACGCACACACACACACACCTCTCCACCTCATCAAGAGTCCCAGGCACTTCTAAGTGCCTCTAAACCAAAGGGAGTAGACATGGACACCTCTCTGGGGTGGGGCAGTAGGAGGAATGGAATAGAACCAACTGGAATATCTGTCTTAGCTGTCTTAGCTGAGGCGGTAGACATACCACCACTCACTGTCTCTGTAATTGCAGATGGTGATAGGAAGGGCACGGGGGCCCTGGCACAGAATAACAAAGGGGGCTGCTTTCAGCTGAGGCCTGAAGAAGTGACTGCTAGGATGGGACATGAAGCTCACAGGCAGGGGGCCAGGGCTGGGGACTTTTCTGGCAGAGGGCCTAGCTGGTCTGCAGGTCCCCAGGGAGAAAAGAGCTAGGTGCTCTTGGTCTTCTGGATGGAGCCCCTGAGCATCAGGGAAGCAAGCAAGAGAGAGAGACACTAAATGGGGTGAAGAGGGAGGCAGGGGCTGGAGCAGCAGGCCTGGCAAGTCCCAGTAAGGAATTTGGAGGTCAAATCAACAGGACTGGGTGATGGAATGATGGCGGGTGGGGGAGAGGGTGTCAGGCGTCTGGATAAGAAAAAAAAGCTTCACGAATGACTCAGAGGTGGAAGGAGGAGGAGCAAGTTTGGGCAGGAGGGGTTGGAACATTAACTTGGGGGCATGTGGAGTTTGAGAACACTTCTAGGTGGTCACGTGGAAATCCCAAGAAGGCAGATGAATGGCTGGGTCTGAGCTCAGAGAGAAATCAGGCTGAAGACATAAAACATAAACGTGGAAGTTACCGCAGGAGAGTCAATGAGGGTAAATCCATCCAGGTCAGCTATGTGGCAGAGAGGAGAGAATCGTAGGCTTTATTTTGAATAAAATGTAAACATTTCCCCCTAATTACAAAAGCAAAACATATTCACTATAAAATGCTGGAAATTCAGACCAGCAGTAAGAGGGTAAAAAGAGGAACGTTTGCCCCAGTATACTGTAAACATGGGTATATGTCAATATATATCCTACAACAGGGTGGTGTGCAGCTGGGGGCGGGGTGCATTGCAAGAACGTGGAAGTCGTTCCTGATGGTCTACCATTATAAACAACACTGCCATGAACAAGTGTGTAGTCTTTGTGTATATCCTTTCATTACTTCTATAGGATAAATGACCTTGAAAATCAAAAGAGGTTTATGTTTCCTGTGAGTTTTGATCATTGTCACTTCATTGCCCTCCGAAAGAGCTGGGTCTATTTATGAAGTTATAGGTGTGGTTGGATCACGAGGAACACAGACGGGCCAGGTTCCCTCCCATCTCCCACCACTACCCACAGGGATGAGCAAGTCCAAGGGGTGGAGGTTGTAGTCCCAGGGAAACGCTCCAAAGCACATGTCTGCATGAGCTTTCAGGCACTGAATGTTCCTGAAAGGAGTGATTCTCCTGCGTGCCAAGAGTGACGTCAGGAAGCTCAGGGCTACCAGATGGACGGAACTTACATGATTGCAGGTGGGCCAGTGTTGCTTGTGCTGATGGGTGACGTCAGAGAGAGATCTGGGTTTAATAGGCAGCCCTTACACCTTCCTTCAGGCTCGCAGTCTCACACAGGGGCAGCCTGACGGCGCTCGATGGGGCTGCTGAGACCATGACGGGAGCGCGCGGGCGCCCGCTTTGATGCTCAGCATATGTGCCCTGGCACGTTTCCTCTTCTCGTCCCGTGGTCTGTCTTTGGGCGATGGCCACCTGGAGAACACATCTCTGCGGCTCTCCCTCCTTCCCGGCTTGGCTCAGCGTGTCTCTCACCCGCTGGGGATCTCACTCCCCAGTAAAGGACTTGCCTTTGAGTCTGTTTGTCAGGCTCTGCGTTGTGGGCAAACTCAGGCTAAGACAGCGGCTTCCAGTTGTGTGACCTTTGAGAGAGTCCTTTAATCTCACTAATTGAAACGTTCTCATCTCCGAAATGGGAGGAAATAGGAGTGCTTCCTGGGGTAGGCAGATTAATACCCCCACCCCCCAAAGATGCTTGCATCCTGGTCCCCGGAGCCTGGAAATATGTTAGATTATGGCAAGGGGAAGTTAAAGTTGCAGATGGAATTAAGGTTGTTAATCACCAGACCTGAAAATAGGAAGATGATCCTGGATAATCCAGGTGGACCCAGTGTAATCAAAGCGTCCTCCTTAAAAGTGGGAGAGGGAGGCAGAAGAGAGAGGTGGCCACTGAGGAGAGCCGCACAGAGGTGCTGCATGGAGGGCTTTGAGGCTAGAGGAAGGGGCCCTGAGCCAAGGAACGCAGGCAGCCTCCGGAAGCTAGGCAGGGCACAGAAACGGATTCTCCCCTCGAGCCTTTGGAAAGAATGCAGCCCTGCCGCCACTTTGATTCTAGCCCCGGGAGACCTGTATGAGCCTTCTAACCTTCAAAACTGTAAGGTAATAAGTTTCCCTTAGTTAAGGCACTAAGTTTGCAATGATTTGTTACAGCAGCAAATAGAAAACGAAGACACTTAACTGCATGTGACAATTTTAGGAGCTGATGTGTGTAGTACTCGGCTCAAGGCCTGGCGTGGAGGAAACGCTGTTACTGCTGTTATTGTTTGGTAGCAACTAACCCTTTTCTACACTGAGGTGACACCTGAGTGCCACCCCTTGCGATTCGGGATTAAAACCTAGTCCTTTAAGGGGTACACAAGTGATGCTGATGTACATCCAGGACCTGGGACCATGCCTTTGAGCCCCAAACGATAGCCTTGTGGCCACCAGCACCACTCAGCCCCTGACCATTGGCACCCTGGTCCTTGCCCCATCCCAGGCTGCAACCCCCCACTCTGCCCCCCGTGAAAAAGAGCCAGAGCCAGAAATAGCAGTCACATCCCTCAGTCTGAAAATGCGCTCCTGCCAGTTCGGTATTTTTGTCACTGTGCATGCCTCCTATTCTGCATTTAAAGCATGAAGACACTTTTTCAGGCCACATCAATATACTAGGCCATCTTCTAAGATGGGGTCCTGGACCAGCAGCATCAGCATCACCTGGAACTTGTTAGAAATGCAAAGTCTCCATCCCATCCCATCCCAGACCTATTGAATTAGAAACTCTGGGGTCGGGCTCAGCGATCTGTTTTAACAAGGCCTCCAGGTGATCCTGACGCATGGAAGGTTTGAGAACGGTGGCGCTGCGCTGGGCATTGTACCAGATGCCAAATGCAGGCTACCACCTGCCAGGTGGCCTGTGTGTCTTATTGGGGTGTACCTTTCACATCCTGTCTATTCCTACCACCCCCTGGGGGTCAGTCACACAGGATATAAGCCTTATTGGTTAAATCAATAAATATTGGGTGCCTACAGTATGCGAGGCACTGAGCTAAAAAGTGGGGTGCAGTGGGGAACAAGCCAGCTTGGGGCCTTTCATGGAGCTAAAAGAGAAGACATTTAACAAATCATTCCCCAATCATACCTCACAAGGTACGATTTGCAGAGTTTTGTTTTTTTAAATCCAGGCTTCTCAAGCTTTAACGTGCAAACCAGTCACCTGGGATCTTGCTGAAATGCAGATGCTGCTTTGGTGGGTCTGGGGCCCGGCCTAAGAGCCTGCATTTCTAACAGGTTCTCGGGTGGTTCTGAGATGGCTGGCCTGGCGGCCACCAACACTTTAAACTTCTTAGGGCAAGTTCCTATCCTTTATCCCGTTGCAGTCCCCGGTTTCACTGACAAGCAAAGGTGGCAGGAATTAGAGCTTCATTTGCGGTCAGGAGAGCCAGGTCCTGAGACTTCGCCATGTCAAGGGCTGGCGCCCTAGAACCCAGGAGTTTCTCGGGCAGGCCGGTTATCAGGAAGGCCTGGCAGTGGGGACAAAGGACAAAGGCAGCTCCCTGATTAACTGCGGCACTCGGGGTTTATCACAGGACTGCAGAGCTCTCCCCGCCCCGGGCCTGATGGGAGGGAGACAGCTGCAACTAGAAAACAGATGTGAATTTGCAATGCGTCTGAGGGAAAATGCGCTCTTGGGCCAGCATTGAATGATAAGGAAGCCGCACTCCCCAGGCGCTGAGGGGAAAGAACAACACCAGAGCTTCACAGCGCCCCTCACTCCCCCACTTTTAAAAACAAAAGCCTCCCAATCTCCTTCCTATAGCAAAGGGAAAAGGGGGCGCAAGCTTTTCTTGGCCTGTTTCCAGCCAGGGCAGCTGGAGTCTATTGGACACATTCAGTCACTCTTTCCTGAGATGGGCTGGCTGGTTAAAGGCTGCCTTGCATTCAAGACTGCTCTTTCCCCTGGGGGGCCTCTCCATTTGAGGCTGAGGAATGCCCCCACCACGGGCCACTGCTTTCTCTCTTGTCCCCTGTTTCTTGCCTACAGTGAGCGTTCCCCAGGTTTGGGAAGGTGGTAGGATTCCAAGGGATTTAAGGGATTCTTTCTTTTGGAGTTTCGACCCCACATCCTATCAAGCCTAATTAGCATCCACATCTCATGTATTCAACATTTGGCCAATTTGAACAAGTGACTATTTTGGCTGTCAAAAGTATGATCTGAGTCTTAGTAGTCTGCTTTTGAAATGAGTCGCCTACAAGGAATACATCTAATTCACAACTGGTCGTGATTTCTCAACAATTGTTATTGCAAACTAGAAAATTTTTTGCAAAGTAAGGAAAGCAAGACTTACTGTTTTTGAACACTATGAATTTTTTATGAATCCCATATTTATGAAGTTTAGCATGATATTTTTGTGGGCATTTAATCAAACTTTCATTAATTTCAATTTTGCCACTTTCTTTTCCTACTTTGGAGTTCCCTAAAAAAAATTTTTTTTTTTTGAGTCTTAAGCATTTCTGTAGGCTCTTGAAGGTACTTAGCAGTTGAAACAGTCCTG